GCCTTTAGAACAGGAGATGCTGTTTATGAAAGATTGCATATTTTGGTTCAGTAGCGTAATGAAGGGTGAAGCGGCCAGGACACCAGCCCTGGACACTTTACGGGGAGCACAAAAATAGCAGCTGCTGCCACTGCTCTCCCAGCCATTGCCAGGCAGCCACTATCCCATGCATCATTGCCACCTAGAGCCCAAAACTGCCCAATTACACATCTGTTTTGGTTAGCAGGCTCCTTTCACCACTCTTGGAATCAACCACCAGGGCCTGGCAACTTGTTTGTTTGTTTGCTTGTTTTTAATTATTGGTTGGCTCCAGGCCTCCTCCTCCTGGAACCTCAATCTCTAACAGTACTTCATCTTTGTTACCAAGAAAAGATAGGTCCAGAATAGGAACATACACAATATCCTCAGTAGTGAAAACTGATGCAAAAGCAGTCATTTTGATCAATGATTCTCAACCAAGGTGCCACATTTGAGATCTTTTCAAGGGTGACACACGGTTTTAGCACTCTTAGTTGGGTAAATATGATTCACAGGATAAACCTGGGATCCATCATGTTAAAAACAGACTTACTTGCTGTGGTCTTTCTTTGCAACAGAAGAATTGCTCTGTTACTTTTCTGTAGTCAAAAAAATGACTGAAAGTTCAGAGCTGGCATTTTCCAAGGGGGGCCTTAAGTCTAATGAGGTTGAGAACAACTGATTTAGATGTTCAACAACATCCCCGGGACTGAGACACTGAATTGCTTTAGACGCAGGAAGCATACGGAGTTGATCACTATGGACTTCCCCAGATAACCTGTTTCACCAAAACTCTCCCAGGCCAGCTTAGTTCCTGGCCTTTGCTTGGCTCTGTTGCTGCCTAGCAAGCTCCAGCCTGACCCTTGCTCCCTCACTGGAGCTTTCAAGGCAGGGGAGCCATTGATTTATCCATGGTCCAAGGTTCACTGAAGAGAAACTGACCTGAATGCCAGGACCCACCTGACCCTGGGAGGCAAGCCAAGCCAGCAAGAATAAGTGAAGTGAACAATGCACAGCTGTTAGCTCCTGAAACTGCATTTCAGCTCTAAATCAGCCATGAGACATGAAAGGGATGAGAAACACTGGGGAGCTAAAACAAGCAACCTTATCCAAACCCTTCTTTCAAAGATAGCATTGCACATTGAGGTCAAATTGCTTCAACCAGTTTTGGAGGGCATACCTGTTCAGATCAGGCAACACACATGTCCAAAACACACATGTGTAAAGCACTTCCTGGAGCCAAGCCACAAAAACACATGGCTTTGCACGTCTGAGGCACATCCTCCCCTGCATGAAGCCTAACACATGCAAAACAAACATGGCCATGTGGATCACATATATAATATGCAAAATATACAATACAAGCATAAGAAGCTCACCTATGAGCACGCATTCACCTTCAGAACAGTTAGCAGACAGACACATTCACACTCTGCAGCACTAGCAATTCAGCTCTCAGAAGTACCAGACCATCTGCCCAAGTCTCAATATGTTACACCTCCTTGACACACATGAACAACTCCCTTCATGTTCACTCGGACCTGGGCTTCCCCCATCCACTGCTCAACAGGGATGACCAAGTAGAAAGCCACAATGTTTTATGACTACTATTTGGTACCTAAGGGAATGAGGCATCCAGAAGCTGTGCTTCGGGTATGTAATCAATTGCCATCAGCAATCATCTCCCATTGACTTGAATGATGTGTGTTAACATGGCCCAATGTATTTCCTGGGAGCGGTCTGGTTCCTCTTCACAAATCTGTGATCACCTCAGACTTCACAGCAGTCATTGCACTGTGGACTGTGGTAATTCATGTGCACCAGGACAGCGCTCAGCTTCTCAGACCCAGAAACCACAGGCTTTGCTCACCTGAGCTACAGGAGAATCTCCCTTGGCTCACCTGAGCTACAGGAGAATCTCCCTTGGCTGCTAATAATTATATATTATTATATATGGTCTGTGACACATGGGTCGGCAGTTCTGAGTCCACCAGTAAAGAGAAGCATGAACATGCATCCTATCTAGCATGTTACAATAGGGGTTGGCAACCTACAACACATGGACTAGATCCGGCACACAAACAGATTAGATCCAGCATGTGAGGTCCCACCTGACCCAGGGGTGCAGTACCCCACAATCAGTCTCCGTGTCCAACTATATCCCAAAGTCCTAGTTCCCTTGTCAGCCTCACCCTCTGAGACACTACCTTGGAGGCAATGAGCAGACAAGGCAAAGCGCACTATGGAAGTGTTTGGCAGCAATGGTCCTGACCTCCTTACTCCATGCACAAGATGTAGAGCCACCTGCCTGGGAACAGAGCACACAAATGGACTCCCTGATCTGGGGAGACACCTGGAAGAAGGCTCAGCCAACTGCTGAGAACCACAGTCTGGTTGTGTTCCTGGAGGATGCATGCTGCACTCCCCTGGTCAGGTGTGCTCATGGGTCAGATATAAGGGTCATTGGGCAAAACTGGAGCAGTCACCTATTCAGGGTCCTGCATTCCAAGCATAACATGTGTACAACATTGTGGAAAACAGGCAAGTGACCCTCCCTGGTCTTCCACCACTGTGGCTCCATGGTCTCACCCCACTGTGGAGCCATGGCTCTTGTGAATCTTTCTCTGTCTCATTCTTTCTCTGCTGCTCTCACTCCATCCTTCCCTCCCTTAGAGAGACTGTTATCCTTGCCTCTTTGCAATGTACCTGCCTCCCTTTTTTGTCCCCTTCCTCTCTGCCATATTTCTCTTCACTTCCCTGCTAAGCTCCTCTCTGCTACACTCCTTTTCCTTCTTTGTGTCTTTATTCCTTTTTCTCTCTCCTCTCCACACACCTCTGCTGCTTGTCCATCAGGCCATGTTCTCCCTGCCATTGGACGTTGCACCTCTCGCACCCACTCTGTCCCTCCCTCCCCATTTGTGCACAGCCTGTTAGAAGACCTATCCTGAGCATCTCTCAGCCCCATGTTCAGCCGTGTGTGTGGGTGAGGCCTGGCCCAGCTCCAGGCATGCCCTGTACCAGGCTCCACTTTGCTCCTCCGGCACATGGACAGCATGGCTGCATAATCAGACTCAGCCAAGCAGCCTGCCCATCACCCATGAATCCTCACTCTGTTTCCACAGAGCAAGGCCACAAACTCCTCTTTCTCTATACAAACAAACAGAGGCTTGAGAGACTCGCTGCCTCGGCCCTGGAACATAGCAGCCATTCCATTAGTGATTCTCCTCCATGACCCTGCTACGGCCCGCCCCCAGCCAGCATGATGCCAACAGGTTCAGCTCCTTGGGGGTGCAGGCCTGTCTCTCCCCTTCCTCAACAGCATTCATACTTGCAGCAGGAAGTGCACTGCAGGCATTAACTGAGCCTCACAGCCTCCATGAAAGCAGCTCATTGCCACCCCCATTGTACAGGTAGGGAAACTGAGGCACAGATGGTTACAGGTAAGGGAATTCCCTTGAGGCAGTGGCAGAGCTGGGATTAGAACGCAGGAGTGCCTGACCCACTAGACCTCCAAATGGTTTCAGCAGCTCATGCCTCCCTCAGTCTTCTCCACATTCCTCGAGAGAATAAATTCCAGGTTCCTGCCTCCCCAGCTTACAAGGTCTTGAAAACACCACCCCATACTTCTGGTCTTAGGATGCAAAGTGAGGCCCTGTCTATGCTACTGTGTTTGTTCAATTCACATTGCCTCTTGTCACCAAGTCTTCCTGTGTCCACACATAAGCATAATGTAAATCAGCAAGGCCCCACCTCTGGCTTTTGAGTACAGCAACTAAAGCATAGCCTACTGCCCCAGACTGCAGTAACCCAGCCTTAGCCACAGCTTCCCTGCCACTACGACAGAAACTGCATCGCAGGCAGCAAGTGCTCCCTGCCCTGAGTCAGAGAGCAGCACTCCAGCCACAGCTCCTTCTCCCGCAGTCTGTTGTAGTCTAAAACATATGTGTATCCTGGAAAGACAGCGAGCAATCCAGTACCGCCTTCTTACTCCATTGCCTCCCTAAGGACAGCAGCTTTCTTTGCAAAGCTGCAACCAGCCTGACTGCTCCCAGATCCCAGAGGGATGGTCCATAAGGAACTGTGTTCCCAGCAGCCTGTGCTGAAGCACATTTAAACAGGGCAAGACTCCCAGCAACAACGTACACCATAACCTCATGGGGAAAGGCTCTGCTAATTCAGGCTAGCAGCACGTGGCTCCTTCTCATGCTGTGCTGGGGCACGGTGGTGACAACAGCATGCCCAGATTACAGATCACGGCACCTCTGGCTACCCACTGTCCCTGTATCACCATGCTGGGCACAGGGGCTACAGCAGACCAGGCAACAGCCTTCTCAAGACAGTGGTGCCAGGAGGCTCAGAAACTGAACATGCCCAGGCTACGCACCTCCCCAGGCATTAGCAGCTCACCCAGAAAATGGAGGCCAGTACTTCTAACAGAGCTGGCCTAGGGTGCAGAGAAGCAGAGAACAAGCAAGTCTAGGAGGAACTGTAGCAGTGCAACAGCCTCCCTCCTGAATGATGCCCCTTACTATGCTACAGCAGGCTGTATCTCCAGCAGCCTGGTTCCCCCTTAGTGTTATGCAATGGTGCAGAGCAACTGAGCACGGCAGATCCTCTGGCTGGCTCTTGGCTTATCTGTGGTAAAACCTCAGCACCCCTGTACAGAGAAATGGGAACTCAGATGCCGGGAGAAAATAAGCGATGAGAAGAGAAATGAAGGTGTCAGGAGTGGAGGGGAGAGAGAGAGCTCCTGATCACACTGAACAAACCTGCACATGTTCCATGAGTTTGCAAACAGCCCCTCCCCTTGACGGCATGCAGGGCTTGTGGGGTGGAAACAGCCTCCTCCAGTGGGGTATCTGGGTAGGCATAGGTTCAAGTAAAGACTGGAGTGGAAAACCCTGCCCTCTCCTCCCTTGTGCCCAAGGGGAAGACGCAACACAATGGGAGCCAGGGCCGGAGAAAGATGGCAGTTTCCTTACCTGGGAAGCGGGGGCAGGTAATAGTGTGTCCCTCCTCTCCAGTCAAGGCCAAACCATCACACTAAGGAGTGGCCTGGGACATGGCACTCCAGTTCCTGCATGAATTGAATTGAAGCTGCAAGGATTTCATTGCGAAAGTCTTTGCCTCCTGCATGGGAAGGGAAGGGAAAAAAAACAGAGCCTAAGACTTGGAGGATATATTCACTTCTTTCTTAGGTTTCCAATGGCAACTGAATATACCACAGATGACTATCCAGTGTGTGTGTGTGTGTGAGAGAGTGTGTGTGTGAGAGAGAGAGAGAGAGAGAGAGATGCACAGCTGCTGAGACCACAGGCAGTGCATGGCGCAAGTTAGCAGGGGCATGTTAGTGCTCATGGGAAGAGACAAATAGACAAAGACAGTGGGGCAGACAGACGGTCTGATGTAAAGCACCTTGAAGCACCAAGGGAAGCAGGGCCTCCATACAAAGGGCCTGGGCTGTTCCACCAAGGACAGAATGAGCCAGTCCCTAGCAGGGTGGGAAGAGGGAGTGTTTTGCTGACTGACTAAGACAGGCTGGACAGCATATAAATATACCCCTCTGACACACATGCCGGTGTGTGCATGCACACAAGCACAATGCCACACCACCCTGCGCACATCCTCTAGCACACAAATCCCACAGGCAGCCTTGCCTGCCAACCTATTGTACACATACTCCCCAGACACAAACTGCCACACACCAACTTGCTATACAGAAACACACCCCACTCCCAGCCACAATCCCACACAGCAGCCTCTTCATGCAGACGCATATATACACCCTCATAACCTTAGACACACTCCATGCAACCTCAAACCTCCACCCAGAGGGTGAAGTGTTCATATTCTTTCACATGCATGCACAGCATGCACACTCCACCCCAAAAAAATACAAACATGCACACATATACAAATACATGCTGTCTTTTGGAAACACCACACATGTTCATGTAATCTACACACACACACAAGCACCGAAATGCACAAATACACAAATGTACATCACTTCCCAAATGTTGACCAGAGCACAAATACACACCAAAATGTGAACAAATGAGCTGTACAAACCCAGATATACTCACAAATAACTCAAATAAGCTCACAAGCCCAAGTATACCATCAAAACACACACCTTTTAACAAATACAAATGCACACCTAGTATCCAAGCAAATACACTACACACAAACATATGTATTAACATACAAACACACAAATATAAGCACACATCAATAAGCAGATAAATGCCTACCAAATGCCCCCCTCCCCCACAGATATAGACACACATCAAGCAAATTCCATCACTGAGGTACACATATCATAAATATAGTTACCCAAAACATACAAACTTAGTGTCAAGCACCCCACACACAGATTTGCCCGTGAACACATCGCCAGCCAATACATCATCATGCAAGGGCAAATATATACCCAGTACAAACTACATGCTTACACATCACAATAGATATACAACATCACCCAGGCATATACCATCATGCACACACAAGCCCAAACAGACACCAAACGTAAACAAAATAGTGACACACCACCATACAAATATTTCTCATCACCACCACCAAGACAAAATGCATTGTACACACAACATGTGGACATACAACATTGCATGCACAAAAATTATATTCTATAAATAGCCATTATACAGGAACTTAACCTGAAAATCACTGCATTGCTCTGTACACCTGCATGTGTACACACACACACACACACACACACTTGTACTTATTCAATCCTGCCCCTCTCCGAGCCTCTCTCTATATCCATTTTCTCTAGGTCTGCCCAGTTCCAGAGCCTCCCAGCACCGTCACTCTCCAATCCACTAACACATGCTACAGCTCAGTGGCTGAGCATCAAGAACAGAAGCATCCTGCTTACATTCACACTCCTCACTCCTTCCTTCTTCCTCCTTTCTTTTGGCATTGGATGCGTATAATTTGCATGTAAAGAAGAGTGTGAGGTCCCACCAGCCCAGAGTGCTGTGAAATTGGCTGACAGCAGCATCAGGGGACGTGATTGCAAATTCTAAACACAGTGAAGTAATACATAAACTCTAATGGAAGGCGGGGCCTGGGGGAGGCTGGGGACAGCTTTGGCCAGGTCACAGGAGGGAGAGGGGGACAGAAATATGAGTAGGAGGGCGTGATAGAAGGACAAAGGCAAGCCGGTTATCAGGGACAGTGCTGAAAATGTTCTGTAAGGGTTGCTTAACAACCATGATAAAGCCATTGCACGGGGATCAGAGTTTATTGCAGTGGGTGAGTGGGGCTTGGTGTTAAAATTAATTTTTAATAGGGCTGCTGGGTGTTTAAGGGGGAGATTACCTGTGTAAGTGTGTTCATGTGGGAATGCACTTGTCAAGTGTACATGAGGAAGGTAGTGCATGGGTTTGAATGTGCATGTATCCTGTACTGGTTTGGAAAGAAACAAGCATGCGCACAGTACATGGACTTGTGTGTTATGTTATCAGTGTAGATGTAGGTACGGGGGGAGGGGGAGCATGCATGTGTATGTGGGTGTGTTGGTGTAGGGGTATGTGTATAAAGGTTGAGTGTGGGGCAACACATGCATACCATATAGATGTGTGCACTGGGGTGAGAGTGTACAAGTGCACACATTTTTGGTGTGGGGAAGAAATGCACATGCATGGTCTACATTTGTGTGTTGGTGTATAAGAAGGCACATGCATGGTGTGCAGATGTGTATGTTGATGTGTCAGTATAGGGTTGCAGGTGTGGGTTAGAAAGCACACGCATGATGTATATGGATGTTCACTGGTGTTGAGCACAGAGATGTATGTGTGATTACAGGGATGTGTCTAATCCTAGCCACACTTACAGGCTTTTGCAAGGCTAGACACCACTAGACCTGTCTCAACATCCCCCTCCAGAAGCAGACTCCCCACTCACATCAATGAGAGAGATCCCTGACCCCCAGGCTCAATGAAAGCGGAGTAAGGCCTGAAAGATTTGTTCCCGTGGTAATGTGACCATGTGTGCATGCTCTAATAAGCACAAAGAGGCACAATCAACATATGCACTCCTTGACATACATATGCATGCACACACTCTTCCATAAAACTGCTTATTTCCCCCACACACACACCCCTATGCCAAGCACAACTCCTCACCCTCCTACACAACCCCCATTCTCCAATCACTCCTCACCCTTTTACACACAAATGTCTTGCACTACACTCCCACAGCTCCTCACACTTCTAGAGGCTTACCCCTGTACAAACACAATTCCTTCTACTCTGGCATCCACAGCGCACACGCGCGCATGCACACACACACACACACACACACAACCCTGCATGACACTCCCACAACCTTGCACAGAAATACACACAATTGTGCCCTTCCTCTCACTTCTACACAGATACATTCCCTTGTGCCACACTCCCACCACTCCTTATACTTGCACTCACAAATTCATGCACACCCTCACACCATACGCCCACATTTCTTGTCACTTCTCCAACCCCCCTGCACCAAAGACAACTCACACTTCTATACATTCAAGTCTTCACATACCTGCACACATTTGTGTGCCAAACACAACTCTTCACTCCTTCACCCATAAAACAAACACACTCCTGCACTATACTCCCTCATGAACCTAGATGCACACATACCTCTGTACCATGCACCCATGATCCCTCATATTCTAATACACACACACACCTATGCACACACTCCCCTGCACCACACACTTGCTCCTCCTCACACCCCCATTCCCTCCTCCCCACTCACAAATATATGCACTCTCCCCTACAGTCACTGAGACGCATATTCAAGTGCCATCCTCCATAAAATTACTTAGCCCATACACTCCTCTCAAACTGTCACCCTCCTCCACATGCACCACACACACATAGGTTCTGACCTCACTCACTTGGTACAACAGGGGACAGAGAGGGACTGGGGGAGCCCCCATTCCCCACCTCAACTACCCCAAACCATTCCCCTTTGCTTTCTACCAGGCTTCTGAAACAAAATTCTCCTCTCTGTGAAACTGTGGCCAATTCAGGCCTTTCAAAAGAAGCTCCGCCAAGGGAATTTGGCACCCCCCTTACACTGAACCCATGTGCCTCTCTCTCATGCTCCCCACTAACATCTCTTTTGCATTACATGTGATTAATAATGCAGGCTGGAAGGGGAAAGGGGAGCAAGCAGGTTGGATCAGCAAATGATGTGCCCCAGGTGCCGGAATGAAGACAACATGTGCTACCACCACTCAGAGAGGCTGGTGAACCCTGCTACAGCTGGAACAATGCTAACAGCTCCTCTGGGTAAAGTGTTCCCTGAAGGACACTTTAAAGAGGGTTCTGTGCTCACTGCTGCTTACAGGAACAAAGTGGGGAAGAGGGGGTGTGAAGTCTCTCACAGGGTGAGTCTTCAGCTCTAAGCCAAGTCCTAAAATCTACCAGAGGAGCTAGAAGCTGTTACCCTAAACCTGACCTTTTCACCATCTGCTCTTGTGCTTCATGAGTACAGCAACAGCACTATTGTTGGTTAACAGAGGGAGAGAGGGTGCTTGTATCCCAAAAAAGGGTGCCTGTACACACCCTATTTAGAGATGCAAGCAATCTGTGTTACCTTGTGTACATGCATGTTCACACGGGATCTAACAGAAGCATGCATGCATGACACAGACATGTACACATGTGCTAACAACACTGGCCACGTGTGTGTAGAGTTGTGAGAGATTTTGCGTACAGCAGGTTTGTGAGGCAGGCACATGAATGAGTTCTGTGTGCACAGCATTCACGTACATGATGTTGTGGGAGCCTAATGCAACCTGTGCACCAGTGTGAATGATCTCTCTGTAAGGAGCACGCTTGTACATGCGGCACTGTGGGGAGCTGTGCATGACTTCTGTGTGAATGTGATTTCTGTGTGAATGTTCATTCTGTGATATGCACAAGTAAACTGTGGGTATGGCATCTGTGTGCGAGCCATTGCTGGGTATCTGTCAGCAATGGCTGTGTGCGCCTTTATGGTGTGTTTGCTGGGGCCATCACTAAAGAGAGCATCCCTCCCTAAGGGATAGCAGCCAGTC